TTTGGGCTCCTTTTGCAGCAGTTACTGCCTCAATGCGGCATGGCATGGAAGCTATCAGTCTGTGGCACTGCTGAGGTGTTATGGAAGACCAGAATGCTTCAATAGCAGCCTTCAGCTTTTCTGCATTGTTCGGTCTTATGTCTCTCATCTTTCTCTTGGCAATGCCCCAAAGATTCTCTATGGAGTTCAGGTCAGGCGAGTTTGCTGGACAATCAAGCACTCCCACGGTCATTGAACCAGGTTTTGCTGCTTTTGGCAGTGTGGGCAGGTGCCAAGTCCTGCTGGAAAATGAAGTCAGTATCCCCATAAAGCTTGTCTGCGGAAGGAAGCATGAAGTGCTCCAAAATCTCCTGGTAGACTTAATGAAGTACAGTGGACCAACACCAGCAGATGACATGGCTCCCCAAATCAACACAGACTGTGGAAACTTTACACTGTACTTCAAGCATCTTGCAATGCGTGCCTCTCCATTCTTCCTCCAGACTCTGGATCCTTGGTTTCCAAATGAGACGCAAAAGTTGCTCTCATCAGAAAAGAGGACTTTGGACCACTGAGCAACAGACCAGTTCTGTTTTTCTTTAGCCCAGGTAAGACGCTTCTGACATTGTTTGTTGTTCAGGAGTGGCTTGACAAGAGGAATACAACATTTGAAGCCCATGTCCAGGATCCGTCTGTGTGTGGTGGCTCTTGATGCATTGACTCCAGCTTCAGTCCACTCGTGAAAGTGTCCAACACTTTTGAATGGCCTTTTCCTGATAATCCTTCCAGGCTGAGGTCATCCCTGCTGCTTGTGCACCTTTTTCTTCCACACTTTTGCCTTCCACATAACTTTCTATTAATATGCTTTGATACAGCACTTTGGGAACATCCAACTTCATTTGCAATTACCTTTTGAGGCTATCCCTCCTTATGGAGGGGGGTCAATGATGGTTTTCTACACAATTGTCAGGTCAGCGGTCCTTCCCATGATTATGATTCCTACTGAACCAGACTGAGAGGCCATTTAAGGGCTCAGGAACCCTTTGCAGGTGTTATGGCTTAATGAGCTGATTAGAGTGGGACACTTTGAGCCTAGAATATTGAAGTTTTTCACAAAATTCTAATTTTCTGAGATTGTGGCTTTGGGGTTTTCATGAACTGTAAGCCATGATCATCTCAATTATGACACATCACGGCTTGAACTATCTTGCTTTGCATGTAATGAGTCTATCTGATATATTAGTTTCACCTTTTAAGTTGCATTACTGAAATAAATGAACTTTTGCACGATATTCTAATTTTTTGAGTTTCACCTGTATACCTAATAATATAGTAGGGTAAAAAAGTTGATTTTTTTATTGTTGCACAGGTTTTATTTATGGGGTTTCTTATGGAAGGAAGTAAAAAAAAAACCAGACACACAAGCCCAAATGTCCCAGTGCAACCTTTACAACATACATAAACAAGAAAAGGCAAAAATAACCCACCCATCCCCCATTTTTAAAAAGGGAGCTGATTAATGGGACCTTTCTCTGAGTACCTGTACATTAAGTAGCCATTTGACTGTAATTTACATAGGTGTGTCAGGTCTCTTTCTCCTGCCAAGAAATAATGGCCCAGAGCCTCGGTTTGACTATGTGGGTGGAAGGCAGAGGAGAAGATATTTTAATGAAGAGAGAAGTCAAAAGATTGGCAACTTAGGCCTAAATGTGGACTCCCAAGCTGAGTTTTCAAGTCAACAGCAATCTGTTCTCTTCTTTTTCTTGATTCTTCTTATCTGGCATCAAGTTTGAACATCAGACAAGTTTCTCCATTTGCCTCTTGTCAATCACAGTCCAGCAAAGATGGATGAGGCCTACAGCTTCTCCAGTCAAGCAGCAGAAAGGATCCCAAGAAGGAGATAACACAGGAATCCCTTTTCAATGGCACTGAAGATGATCATGTCTTAATGTTCCTGCCAGATTGCCTCCCAGTTGGCAGAAACGGTAAAGTAGCAGAAGCGGGCACATTCTGATGTCAAGAACAAGACAACCAGTACAACTGGAAGAACAGTACAAACATTTTGTCCTCCTGTGCCTGGAAGCTTACAAATGTAGATCTTTTAGAGTTGGAAAGAAGCAAAATTCTACCAGGTCTATCATTTCCAGATTTCTTTCTTCAGCTATATTGTACTCTTTGCTCAGCATACTTCAGGACCAACTGCTGCGCTGGTTAGAGAAGATGTTAACTCTACAACAGTTTATCTGGAGATCATCTGGTTTGGAAAAAAATATTTTAAACAAGGTCAGGCAGCTTTCTGGTGGACAGTATCTCTTTCTCTTAGCCTTTTTGTGGAGGAGCTGAAAGCTTACAAACATGCAAAGGAGCCTCTTTAAAATTAATTTGTTGAAAAGTATACTAATGAAAATTACCTATTTTGCCTCCAGATTTTGTGATGTGATTTGTGGAGGCACTAGGGACAGCAAATTTGGGGCTGCAGGTAACATGCAGGTTGCACAGTTGTTCCAAAAGATTGGAACCTTCCCTAGTAGCCAGATTCAATTATTATTTTGAAATTATTTACAAAGATGTACCTAGAACAAAAGAATTCATTTTCATTTCAATAACTCTCTTTTTCTGGCTATATTACAGTCCTTGTGTAGTAAAGCTGCTAACTCTTGAACAGACAGTTGAGAAATGTACAGTGCATAACGAAATTTACGCCGCTCAGATTAATATCACTCCAAAGGGAAACGTGGGGAAGAAATGAAGGTAGAGAAAAAAAAAGCCCACAATCTTCTACCTAGAACATTTTCCATTGCTTCTAAAGACTACTTGTTATAAACAGCTCTATGGGGAAAATCTTGACTTACGTTTCTGTATTTTTATTTCATTAATGCACTTTGATACTGCACACCAGCCATTTTGGGAATATCTGTATTGCTAAAAGTAGTACAATGGTAGTAATTCTAACAGTGCATCACAAAAGAGAAAGTTTCAAAGCAACTTCACAATCCAATGCAAAGTAGTCCTAACACTTCTGGCAAAGGTAATGGGACTATTTAAGAAAAGGACAAAAATACAAAAGGAAAGAACATTTCAATTAAAAGGATAAGAAAGAAGGATAGAACCTTAGTTTACTTTGGTGTTTTATCCAAGAGAGTATTTTTCCTAATGTTCCTTTTGGAAGAACAATCATATATGGATCTACTTTAAGGAAACAAATTTACCCCAAAGGGGTACATTTTGGTGCTAAAAATCCCTTCATTCTGCTTCTACATTAACCTTACCTACTTCTGTATGTAATTTCTCATCAACCTGAAGAAACTCGTATTACATAGACATAGAGAACACTGTAAATGTACTATGGTAGACACATGATATACAGTATGTCTCCATCCATGAAAAATAACTTGGAAATAATCACCACTTGGTCAATGTCCCAAAGGTGCTTTTCCAAAATGCACCTGGACTGTTTTTTTCCTTGAGGAAGAAGAACAAAATGTTTTGTTCTTCTTCCTCAAGGAAAAAACAGTCCAGTTGCTTTTTCAGAAAGCACCTTTGAGACAACTATGACTTAGATGACTGAGGATCTCCACAGAGACTTGATCAAGGATGAGCTCCTTCTCTTTTCTCTTAAAAATCCAAATATGAAAGGGATCTTTTCCAGACTGTAGCTATCTGCATTATTTCCAAAACCGATAGCAACATTTTCTTAGTGTAGCAGACTCCATGACCTTTAAAAGGTTAGGAATAACTGATTTATCTGCAAAACAAGCTCAAGCATTTCATTTGGTTTCTGGTGTATTCTTTTCTTATATTGCAAATAACCAGAATCAGAACAACTGAATTGTTTATTACAGTGTTTGGAAAGTTCCCTTTGGAATACTAAAACCTAAATCTTGTAGTTTAGAAACTATTCCTTCTGTCTAACCATATTAGGAGTAAGAAACAACTATCCTAGACCTAACATAAACACTCCAAATATTGATATAGATTGTTACATCGCATGCACAAGTTGAAGATTTTTTCAACCAATAAAGCAGGAATAGGGGAATCTATGATCTTCCAAATCTGACTGAAGCATACCTGCTAGTATTGCCATTGATGGGAATTGTTGCTATACAATTAAAATAAAATAAAATTAGTGTGGCATTGTAGCAGTATACCAGAAAGATCAGAAACAAAATAGATGGAAGAACCAGAATTTCAATTTATTTCTCGTGTTGTCTAGGAAAATGTTGGTTCAGTAGGTATGGTTTCTGATGATTGGTCTACAAAAACCCTAAATTTTAACCTTCAAATTTGAACCAAAAACATTCTTTTTCCTTTGGCTACATAAAGGTGCTAAATGTCTGGGACTAACATGTGCTATCAAAGTTCGGGAAAATATAATTTGCAATTAGGAACTCAGACTCACAAAAAGAAAAAAAATCTTAATTTAGAACATGTAACAGGATTCAGAGCAAATCCATAGTATTGTCAGTTATGGCTGGGGAAAGACTCCTTGCAAAAAAATTTATTCATTGCCAATCTTCACAAATATATGAGATAAGTAAAGAAATAATCAAACTCAGTAAAAGGCACCCATTATATTTAAATACACATTCCCTTTTTTCTTTCCTTGTCTTTCCTTATCAATTTTAATCACAATTTATTATTAAAATTATAACACTGGTAGATATTAATTACTTCCACAGATCTGAGGAGAAGGGCAGTTAAATTAGGAAATATAAAAAAAACCACAAGACATTCCCAGATGAGATACAAGTGAAACAGATGTTCACAAAATTTCCTTAACAAAAAGTCTATTTGATACAGTTAAATGAACAAAAACTTGCTAGGCCCAAAAGATTTCCACAGGGATCTTGGATATTCATCAAGAAGCTTCTGTATTTTCCAACTCATTCTAATTGTTGGACTTAGTCCCTAAAGTTTATTCATCATTATGCAGAGTCAACCAATTATATTGTTTGTCAATAAAAGAGATTAGAAGGAGGTCACAATTATTTGGAACTCTTGTTCCTTTTCCTATTACTCACCAAGGTTGGGTTGCGACATGGCCATTGAACGTTGTGATACTGGGGTGGAAGTGGTTGAAGGATGATGGCTCATGTGATTTAATGGCTGGGTCATAGTCTTTCGAGGATCTTGCCAAGTTGTAATTTTCTCTATGTGGCTACAAAAGAGAAAGTTCTGAGTTATTAAGATTATTCCAATACTAATTTTAATTACAAGTTTCTCATTTTTTTATGCTATATATTAGTCTGTTTCCCTACTTTTGGTTGGCATCATAATATTAATACATATAAGTATCCAAAACTGCTATCAGTTCACTCTTCTGTCATAATATTTTATTACCATCACAGACCTGATAAAATATCTGTTTTTGAGATGAATAAACAATATGCTAAATTAAGCATTTATCTATAAAGCTATTTTCCAAAGAACCCATCAATCTGTCTATTGAAATTACTCAGCTACATTTGAACATCTCTGTATTATTGGATGTAGTCTTGCAAACCAAGATAGGAATATGCAAACTCTGGAAAAATTTCAAGGGCAAAGTTCTTGAGACATCTGAGAATTCTTGAATCTTGCAAAAGTTAATTTTCTATTTACCTAAAAGTACTAACCCTTATTGCATTAATTACTAGTCTTCATACAGCCTGAAATGTCTTCATTATTTTATTATTTTCTCATCTTCCAAATCCTTTTCTTTAGAATATCCTGCCTCCAAATATGTAGATATCCCTTGAACTTGTTTTTTACATTATTTTCCTATAGTAGAGCCAATGAATTCTATAGTGGGGTAGTTGTTCAACTCATTCCAGAAGTAGCTCTAACTCTGATGGTAATTCCTCTCAGAAAAGATGGCTCCATTTCTGATTCAAATCAGCCTTCAAACTTGGGTGCACATATAGGTAGCTACTTGTAACAGCTAGCTTCAGTTACACACCTGGAGATTTAGCAAGGCCTTCTTTCTATGTTAGTACCCTGAGGAGCTTCTACCAATTACATACATGATTTCATATAGATAAGTAAAAAGAAATAAACCATACCAACATCAATATCAGTCTTGCAAGGTAGTGCATACAAGTAGTACACCCAGAAGAACGAGCTTTGTTTTATTCTAAGGTACATTAATAGAATCTTGCAAGAGTGAAAATACATTTGTCCTCCCATTGCCTTTACAGCCCAAGAAACTAAGAAGGGTCCCTCTTGAAATGTTCACTATATCCACATGCCTCTGCAGGCAATGGCCACTTATCTGACTGTTGCCCTGGCTCTGGCTCTTCTCCCTGTCTTCCAAAGTAGAATTACTTCATCTGGCTGTGCTCTCTGTCCGAAGTACTTCATAAACCTGGCATTCAAGTTGGTATGATTTTGTTTCGTAGTAACAGCAGTAAGCAGTAAAGTACTATAGGTAGTCCTCGACTTATGACCACAATTGAGTCCAACATTCAACACATCTGCTAAGTGAATTTTGCCTGATTTTACGATCTTTCTTTTCACAGTTGTTATGTGAATCACTACAGCTTTTAAGTTAGTAACACCGTTGTTAAGTGAATCTGGCTTCCCCATTGACTTTGCTTGTCAAAATTTCATAAAAGGTGACCACATGAGCCCAGGACACTGTAACAGTCATAAATATGAGTCAATTGCCAAGCACCTGAATTTTGATGATGTGACCCTAGGATGTTGCAATGGCTTAAGTGTGAAAACCATCATAAGTCCCAATGATCATAAGTCCCTTTTTTCAGTGCTATTGTGACTTTGAACACTCACTAAATGAACTGCTGTAAGTTGAGGATTACCTGTAAAGAAAATGGCTCCTAGCATAAAATTAGGCTTTCCCCAGGATATTACAAAACTACAGAAATTCCTAAGTCCGGCTCCTGCAGAAAATTTAACATTGGACATACCATACGGTATGATAAATAAGGCACCGTGCCCAGGGATGGGATTCTACAGGTTCACACCTATTCTCTAGAACCGGTTGTTAACATTCTAAGCAGTTCAGAGAACTGGTTGTTAGAAGAAATTACTGGCCTAATCCTGTAAGGAAGGCAGGAAGGAAACATTTTGGTGTTGCTTACAGAAACTGCCTCTCCGTTAACCCTTATTATATTCTTGGCAGGACTAGACTTCCTGTCTCAGGAACTTCTCTGGAGTTTTTTTTCTGTCTTTGCTGGTACTTTGATTGTGTGGAGTGACCATTCAAAGTTACAATGGCACTGAAAAAAGTGACTTATGGCCGTTTTCATACTTACAACTATGGCAGCATCCCCACAGTCATGAGAGGCCAGGCGAGGAGATGCGTGCCTCGATGTGAGTAATGTTGAGTTGCCCACGCCCAGCCAGTCACATGACCACCAAGCCATGCCCACCAACTAAACCACGCTCAAAGAACTGGTTGTTAAAAAATTTGAATCCCACCCCTGACTGTGCCCCTAATAACATATGAAGGCTATCTTCAATTTCAGTTACCTCTTGTATCTATTATTAATTTTTATCTTTCTCAAGTGGGCTTAATTTGAGTTTTCCTTCCTTCTAGTTAAGCATTCCAGAATTGGAGGTGGAGCTATCTCCTCCCACCACAAGTACCATAAGAATCTTCTAGCTCTGCCTATTGTTTAATATGAAGGGAGAGATCAGAATGCCCTGTATCTACTCAAGAAAAAAGACATCCATGACAAATTCATTGTATTGTTCTTCATATTTTCTCTCTCTGTTTCTTTGTTTGTTTTCTTCATCATTTTACATTTGTATGCTTTCAGGCATCAACTGGATATTTTTTCTAAAAGCACAAAGAAGGTTTTTAATTTTTTCTTATGAAAAATAATAATAATAATGATAATAATAAAGGTAGCAATCAAATAAATAAAATAATAAAAAATGAAGTGGCACAGATTCTGATGTAACTTTTAAAAACTCTGCACATTTAGCTTCACCTTTATCCCAGATTTTCAACTCTGCAGCTCAAAGCCACTTTCAATTTTTCTGAATCACTTGCCCTTCCTTTCATCTAGTGAGTCATTTCCTGGCTGGAAGGTTTCTCTCAATTCTAGTTTTGCTTTCCAGCACTTGTTTCTCTTCTATACTATTTAAACATTTTCCCTCTTCTTTTCAACTCTGTACTGTCTAAACATCTAAGTTCTTTTGTTTTTCTATAAACAAAATAATGAAACATATTTGATGCCTCTACATATGTTGGATATCATCTCACATAATTTTTCAGGATATTTAGGAAGCTATTCATAAGAAAAAAGAATGTATCTGAGCATCTAAGCACTTACTTTATTTTATATTAAAATAAAATATATTATATATCAATATTAGTATTAATATTTCTAAAAACTGACTGTTCTTTCTTAACGAAAAAATCTTGAAAGTTGACCCATTTTCCCAGTTTGTCCTTTCAGTATATGTATTTCAGTTTAAGTTTTAAAAATAGACACAGTTTTAAATCACTCCTACCGCCTGTAATAATAAATATACCTAGCAGTTTTGTACATCTGTCCTATCAGTTCCGCAACTTTATGCATGTTGTAGTTACATTATTTGCATTTTAAGCAGCATAAATTCTATGTGGCATAGAAGTTTTCACTGATATACATATCCTATTTAAATAATATAATTTACTAAGCTGGAAGTGATTAAAAATGTTGAAACAAATTGTTTCAGCAAATTTCAAATAGAAATAAACTGAAATGCAAACAGAAGACTAGATATTGAAATTGGACAATAAGGTTTCTTTAATGGAAAGACAAATTAATGATCAAATAATAATCCTAATCTATCAGTAAAAGAATAATATTTATATGAAATCCCAATCATTCTTGATAATAAATTCTTGATTGTGAAAAAGTCTAATGTCACATGGGGCAGTTAGACATAATTATGGCTTCTATTGTTAGTTGATAAAAAGGTATCAAAATACATTTATTGTGGCATAAGTAATACAATACTTATGAGTATTGCCATCTAAAGAAATGAGAACTTAAATATAAGAAAGTCAAAAGAAATATGGAAAAGTGTGTTTTTTTCTTTGTGGAAAAAAATACTAACAAAAATTAAACCACCTTAGAATCTAATTCATATACCATACTACTATATGCATCACTGCTTTTTTTGTCTAAGCCATATTTAGCTGAATTTGTATGTCCTGAAAGGTATGATTTACAAATCATAGGATTCATTTATGTGGTAATCTCAAACCAGACAACATATATTATGCCATAGTGAAACATGTGAATCCAGCCCATGGATTACCTTCAAGTTCCATTTAAAAAATTTTGTCACAGTAAAATCAATACTAAAATGAACTTCACATTGATATCAGTGGAAATTCAACTAATTCAACTAATGTAACTGCATATAATCCAATATGGTCTATTTTCAATGTACAAACAAAGCAATGATTTCTTCTAAGAAATGGCAATGACAACAAATGAAGTTGTTTATTTTAATAAGTCTGCTACTGAAATAGGCACCTATTGTTTCCAATCATGCTCTATTCTCCCTCCTGTTACTGGCATGCTGTAAATATCACAGTGCCAAGTGTTATCTACTCTTTTGGGAAACACATTTGTCGCAACACTCCCTGCTGCAGCAGTTGCTTTCTTGTTCACCAAATTAGAATGAAGGGAACTGCAGAGCCTGGTTTTCCCCTTGTTTGTTTTGTCAGTCAATTCTCCATCCCTTTCAAATGTAGCCTCAGAGGTGCCCTGCTCTAAAGGGAGAGTCCTGCCATCTGCTTCTTGTCCTTTCATATAACTATGAGCTTGATAACAACTATCTCCAAAACAAAAAGGCCCTAAAGTACCTTCTCTTGAAGTGGAGCTGAAGTGCAAGGAAACTACAATCCTATGAACATGGGAGGTGCATTTCTGCTTTTTTTGAAAGGAGAGATAAACTGGAAAGAAGGAGCTCACAACATCGTCTAGATTTTCATGCAGATCAAAGACAAAAAAAAAGTGAAACGAGGCTGGGCAGGTTGAGCCCAAGACATTATAGCATTTGAGAAGACTGGAGACTGTATTGTACTCTCCTTTGATTGTGTTGTGTGCCTATTTAACAATAGAGTTATCTCTATGCCACCCTAAACTCTTTCTTAAGTCAGGTGAAACCTTTTGGTAGAGGCTTGAGGTGAAACCTTTGGTGGCTGAGGGGAAT